AAAAAACATATGCCAATTATTTGAGCACCAACCAATTCTTAAAACCGCACAACAGTACATTTACACACAAACGATCGGTCGGCCGATTTCAGGTATTGCCGAATGTTACACTAAAATGACAAAAGTTATATGAGTTGACAACACAGAGTAGATAGATATACAGAACTACAACTAGTGTACCCACCTTTTTGTGTGTACACTAGATGCAAGTTACTAGATGCATGGCTATCTAGTGGCTTTCCCTCCTGATCTATAGTATTGTGCTTCTCGATTTCAATTGACTCTCTCATTTTGCGAGAGAACTTATGACTATCAATCGCCAAAATGGTTGCTTCGTCCCATTTTATACGATGGTCGTAAGTCCAAGTATGTTTAGCCACAGCAGATTTATCTTGCTCGGCTTTCTCGCAATTCGTCTTGTGTTCGCAATTCTCATTTATTGTGATGAAGCTAGTAACATCCGCGTCCAAATCACCGAGGTTCTACGACGTGCAACGCTTCCAGCTTCGAATTTAACCAAGAATAAGAAGGATGCTTTGAAAAACTTAAGAGCAGATAAGTTAATACATATTTTAAAGGCTGATAAGGGTAACGCTACGGTTATTTTAGATCGTTTAGAATATGATAATAAAATCCTGGCTCTTTTAAACACTTCAACTTATAAAGAGCTTAAAAGAGACCCTACAGCTAACATTGAACGAAAAATATGTTCCAAACTATCTGGTTTTAAAAAGTCAGGTATTTTGTCTCAAACACTTCATAATTGTTTGAGATCTTCAGCTACTGTTTGTCCAAAATTTTATGGTTTACCCAAGATACATAAACCTAATGTCCCACTAAGACCTATGGTAGCGTCCATAGGTTCGCCAACGTATGCCCTGGCTAAATATCTCGCTGAGATATTGAAACCAGTTGTTGGAAAAACAGATCATCATGTAGTAAATTCTAAAGAATTTGTAACAAAAATGGAACAAATTAGATTGGGTCAGGGGCGGCGGAACAGGGGGGCTAGGGGGGCTAAAGCCCCCCCCCCAGAAGTGAAAGTGGGGGGGGGGGGCTTAGCCCCCCCAGAAAATTTGAATTTTTTGAAAAAATTTTGATAATTAGGGAAAAATTTAGGTTATTTTTTGAAAATTTAGGTATAAGGGGACAAATTTGCAATATTTTGTTTAAAAAAAGCGTATTTCCGAAAAAATTTTTTGATATAAGTCCGGAAAAATTTTTTTCGTCCCTTTTTTTGTATATTATACCCCTAAAGTGGTACACTGACCGAAATTTTTTTGGCGACGGGGGGGGGGGGTTGGGGGGGGGAGGTTGCCGAAAAATTTTAGCCCCCCCAGAACGAAATCTGTTCCGCCGCCGCTGGATTGGGTAAGAATGATATTCTGGTACGTTTTGACGTAGTTAGCTTGTTCACTAATGTTCCAGTTGAAGAGGCATGTAATATCGCGAAAGAAAGACTTCTTTCAGATATTACGTTATCTCAAAGAACTAATCTTTCTCCTGAGAATGTTCATGATTTGTTGAAACTATGTTTGACCACGGCATGTTTTCAATGGCGGGAGAAATTCTATGAACAAACAAACGGCGCTCCAATGGGAAGTCCATTGTCGCCTGTTATGGCTAATTTGTTCATGGAGGAATTTGAAAAGAAGGCCTTAGCTACTGCAAAGTTGAAACCAAGTTTCTGGTTCAGATACGTGGATGATACATTGAGTAGCTGGTCTCATGGACTAGATAATTTACAAAAGTTTCTAGACTACATTAATAGTTTGCATCCATCGATCAAGTTTACTTTTGAAGTACAGAAGGATGATAAAACTATACCGTTCTTAGATGTTCTTTTCACTATACATGATGATGGATCGCTAGGACATAAGGTTTATAGGAAACCAACACATACAGACAGGTATCTGCATTATAATTCATTTCATCATCCTAGTATTAAAAACTCTGTGTGCAAGACACTCATCAACCGAGCGAAAACAATTTGTGAGGTAAGTAACATTGACGATGAATTAGAACATTTAAGAAATGTTCTAAAAATGCTATGAAAACGCCACAAAGTGTAAAGCAGAAGATTGAATATCAGTCGTCTGTTTGTCTACCATACATTGGTCCGGCTTCACACAAAATCGAAAGAATTTTGAGGAATGAAGCAGGTATAAAGGTATACCATTCCAGCGAAAACAAATTGTTTCGAGCTCTATGCACACATAAGGACAACGTAAATGAATGTCAGAAACCTGGTGTGTACCACATTCCTTGTGAATGTGGTCTGGTTTACATTGGTGAAACTGGTCGAAATCTCTCAATACGTCTTAAGGAACACAAGACGAATTGCGAGAAAGCCGAGCAAGATAAATCTGCTGTGGCTAAACATACTTGGACTTACGACCATCGTATAAAATGGGACGAAGCAACCATTTTGGCGATTAATAGTCATAAGTTCTCTCGCAAAATGAGAGAGTCAATTGAAATCGAGAAGCACAATACTATAGATCAGGAGGGAAAGCCACTAGATAGTACGTGGCGTGCTTTCTTTAATGTGCAAAATTAATTTCTCTTGTCTTGGATGCGCGCGCGTTAATTGGAATCACTTCACTGAAGGGCTTGAATCCGGGTTTTTCCATTAATTTTAGTTTATTGTACGATCATCCAGATTAAAATTGTTTTATCATTTCTGACGTTTCGGCTACCTATACGGCAGCCATTATCAAAGACGTATTACAGTTACAAAAAAAATTTTACAGTTATAATAATGTTATCTTGCTTCAAAAATGACGTGCGCGTGTTCGTGATGTTGTTGTTGTTTAATGACTTGTATGGAGTTTAATGGTTTTGAGGATGAGAGAATGTTCCTGGAAAGTTGGTTTACAAAATGCGATGAAAACAGCATCAACATTTGCGCGATATGCCAGGAGCATACGCTGGACTAATCGCGCATGAACGCAGGCTCTCATGCCTTGAACGCAGGCGCGAGCAAACAACATCACGAACACGCGCACGTCATTTTTGACGCAAGATAACATTATTATAACTGTAAATTTTTTGTAACTGTAATACGTCTTTGATAATGGCTGCCGTGTAGGTGGCCGAAACGTCAGAAATAATAAAACGATTTTAATCTGGATGATCGTACAATAAACTAAAATTAATAGATACATTGCTATTGGACATTCGCTCAAATGGCGCTCCATGGAGCAAGGGGTGATGACTGAACTTGCATGCTTCACCGTCTCTTAACAACGTGCACTTTTTCTTTCTTCTACATGGGTTGCGATGAATTTTTAAACAAAAGTAACATGCATGAGCTTTCCTCACCTCTGTGAGACGAACAGTAGGGGCCAATGGGCCATACTCAGAAACCGTTGGCATGTGTCCAACTGGTGGGGCTGTTTGCATAACCAACAATGCTGGAACGTTGGTTGTGGTGGTGGTGGTTGTGGTGGTGATTGGTTGCCCTCACCTAATACTTCACCTGGATTCTCAGTCCTTGAATCGAGTTTGTCCATGCTGGTACCCGTGCTGGTACCCTTCTCACCTTTCGATGTGATGGTATTTACTGAGCCTTTGTTGTCAGCACTTCGAGAAATTGTTCTCTGGGAACGAATGTCGTTATTTTATAATCATTTATTATACAAATAGCATCATATTCTTTTGACACATCTTCCATCCATTCTTCTTCCTGTTCATAATCCTCTTCTTCTACAAGTATTGCAAACACTTCATGCTTAGATAGTACTCTCTCATAGGCTGTTTCAAATATGCCACCTGCTTTGACAACTTCCGGTTCGGGCCGTCCTTGTTCGATTAGCCGTTGGATGGATTTAGCACTACGGGTAAATTATGATTTAGCAATAGTTCTTGCCTTTTTCGCTTCATTCATTATTACCAATAAACAAATGACGATGAATATATATTTAGGCTTGACAATTGTTACCATATATGTTCTCTGTAGAGGAACATATGGTAACAATTGTCAAGCCTAAATAAATATAATAAATAAATAATATAATTCTCCTTGATTTGAATGGTGAAACAACCTGTAGCGTTTAGGAACCTTTTGTTTATTCTCTTGTATGGATATTTGCCGATTCGTATGAAAGTTAAACTTTATTCAAATCCTATTAAAGAGATATCAATTACATATATTACGTATAATAATATAGTTATCAATATAAACAAATACCAGTGTGTATAAGAGATACTCCATTCCAATATAAACTTACAAGTTGCACAATCCTGAATAATAATAACCCAATTGTCCCGCAACCATTCACCGTCTCTTTTAACTATATATAAATAATGTAATATTTCCAACGTATTTTGTCCTTATATTTGTCCTGATTTCATTTTAAAACACATCAACAACTCGTGGTGTTTTACGCTTAATTCACATCGTTCAAAATCCGATTTAGTTTCCAGTCCTACTAAACTGTAACGCAACGTTTCAAAAACATTAAAACAATGCATGGAAACAACGTATTTTAATAGCGAACAGGTTTTGGTTGCAAGCGAAGAAACTTTTATTTAAATTTATATTTGACTTTTGTATTTTTAGAAATGTGTCCAAAACCGCATAAAAGAAAAAAATGAGTATATATAGCATACAGAACCATTATTAAATTTATTATCAAGACTGAAAATACAATTCAATTATTTCAACTTCAGCAATATTCATAAACAAATGCGACCTTTAGTCGGCTTCGACCTGACTTAATTGGAGGTTCGTATCTTTGGTTCAATATACGCCATGTAGATGAAAATACCACCGTTCGATTCAGTACAAAAATATCTCCTAGTTTCTATCGATAGTTTTAGTGAAATGTCAACACTATAGCGATTTATGACCTATGAACGTCAAGCGGGATTTTGTATATTAATATCAAATCACGCAATGTTTACCCTTGATAAATATAAACTAGACATACCTTTCGGCGAACATAACTTCGGCTCCTTGGGACGCATCCTCTTTGTATTATTACTCTTGTTCGAAAGCGAATTCAAAACACTACTTAGAGTGTTATTTTTGAGCTTGTATCTTGAAAACATCTTTTATTATGGTATTTCCATTCCTGGTCTGATTGTGAACTAATTCCCGAACATCAGCGTGTGACAGGCGCGTGCGACTGTGCGAGTAAAAACCCGATATTTTGAAAAATTAAAAATAAATATTTCTACTGGCCGTTTTCAAAAGAAATTTTCTACACGAAAGCGCTTGAATACAAGGAGTATTTTACTTCTTTGGCTGGTGGCGAATTCCGAAGAGTTCAATAAATATTCAAGTTTGTTCTCGATACGAAATACAGAATGTTTGGCCAAGCGATGAGTAAAATATACGATTGTTTGCTTTGTGTACTAAATGTTAAAAAATATTACTTTTGACCATCCACAAACATGCAAGCACCAGTCAATGAGGTCAATCAATCATGCCATTAAATAATAATTTAATTTTCAAAAAGACGTTTCTTGTTTAACTTAAAAATCACCTTTTGTTTCGATGTTTACACTTTGTCCCACTTTGTCCCACTTTGCGATGCAAATCGTGCAGAGGCTTCGCGCTAGGGATGGGCCGATATCGATACCAAATACTCGATGCCATCGATACCAGGGTTTTGAAGAAAAGTATCGATACTGGCAAGAAATATCGATGTTTCGATATTTCTGCGCCCGCGATATTTTTCATTTTGGTCAGCGGCATCATCATGAAAATGATACCAAAAAGCCTAAATAGGCGTAAATAGTTCATTTTCTATAGTGCTATAATGGTCCACGGGAAGGATGGGAGTTTCTGGTTATGTTGGTTGCAATCACTGACATATATTATTCAATGTTTATATTGTTAGCGTTGTGGCCGTTGTTAATGATTTCAAGTTGGGAAAATATCGATATCGGTATCGATATCGAAAAAAACCCGGCAAATATCGAGCAAATATCGTATCGAATGAAAAAGCTGGTATCGCCCATCCCTACTTCGCGCCTTCCTTCGCCTTTCCCTTTGCCGCCTGCGCTCCTTCTCCCAGCGGCTACGCTCGTGTTCCAAGATCCGCCATGTAAAGTGTAGTGAAGTGTTTCTCATCGTAATATTAAATCCTAAGAAAACTAAAGCCTCTGCGGAGGAGAGAGAGCTCGAGTTGTTTATATGGCTTCTCAAATAAATCGAGATGTACTAACAGAATGTTTTCGTTTGCTGGTTTGAATAGAATTCTTAACCAAGCATAAAGTAATTAGGAATTCTATTCAAGTAATAATTAGTACCTGTATTAATAAGATATTTGATGAAAACACTGGTGACTTTCATCAAGGGTTATCCAAATGGCATCTTGTAATCATGGACGTCAATCCTGGGGGGGGGGATGGGGGACGTGTACCCCCCCCCCAGTGTTTGGAGTGGGAGGACGAACATCTAATTATCCCCTGCTCCCCCCCCCCCCACACACACACTTTTTGACATGTTTAATGAATTTTTGTTTCTTGGTTATCTAAAAACCTAATACATGGTATTCTGTTCATCAAAAATTGTGATTGAAAGGAAGTTAGACATTTAAGTAGTATAGGGAATGAGGGTTCTAGACCACTAACTGATCTAGGCTCTATCATCACTTTTTTATTTTCGTCTTAAATCAACAAGAATCCTGCAGTATTCCCGCCAAATTTTTCTAGACCACTTTTTCCCCCCATCTTCAACGTTGAATATTTCCAGTCGACTTTCATCCAATCTCTAAATTTCTATTTAACAATTTACTCAAAATCCAATTGCAATCAACTTATTACTTCCAGGGGTTCTGATTGCCTGAACACCCAGTGACTTCGCTTTCTCTCCCAACACCATTCTTAAATATTTCTTTTCATCTTTTGGTAATATGTCGTAGTTTTTCCTTAGATGATTCTCATCTGTTACGACTACCCTCAATGGTGTTGGTTTCTTGAACTTAAATCTCTTCAGTGGAATCACTACTTTGTATTCTGGTCTGGGAATATGTTTCTCTTCTTTTGGTTCTAGATTTTCCCAGGGAGGGCCTTCGTAGAGTTCTACTGCTTCCTCGAGTCTGCAGTATTCACTCTGAGTTTCAACCCTTTCTAGTACACATCTTGGTTCCACTTTTTCTTCAATCACCACCTCGGCCTTCATTTCTCCTATTGAGTGGTGCCCGTACGCGTAACTTGAAACACCATCTTCAAGTAAGTACCGTTTATCATCGAAACAGCTGAGTGTGATTTTCTTTAGCTGGTAAGTTCCGATTTTATGTTTGATGCTTCGGATTGTATTCATCTTATGTCTCATCCTACCTTTGGTCTTGATTACGTTCTTAAAGTTTTCGTGAGTGAGTTTGTTTCTGATTACGTACTTTTTCACACCTTTTGCGGTCATTCCGCCTCCACCACTCTCCTTCACGTAGGAGTACATCTTTGACCTTAACCCTACGAATTCAATCACTGGTACTCCTTCGGCTTCATCCTTAAACTTTCCAATTACCTTCTTATTATGAGCTGAGTAATATGGAGAATCTTTCGGATAATCTGAGTTGTCCCAGCAGTCCTTCTCTTCACCGATCCTCTTGAAGTCCTCGTACACGTCATCAGTCTTGATCTCATACATTAGACTATCAGTGTCTGTGAATAGAAGCTTCGACTTGTCACCGTGCTCCTTTTTGATCGTGTTGTAATGGAAGTCGTACATCAGAGTCTTAGACAAGTCCAGGATGCTCATTCCCACATAGCACGGTTTATTCAGAGTTAGCACTTCCTTCATTCTTTTCACCACGATTAAGTTCTCATTCATAATCCTATGTGACTGGAAGCACGGAGACGCTGTAAGTTTAAGGAGGTCGTTTTCCGATGACACTAATTTTACATCAACTCTCTTCCTCAAATTTTCCATAGTCTTTCCGTAGATGGAATTGTTCATAAGTTTGAAGAAGTTTTTCTCAAATGCATTTTTAGCTACTGACCGTTTTTGAGTATTGAAGTCAATATAGTTTTTCAGCCAAGTTGACTGCTTGAATGAGACGGCTCTGTGAACCTTCGTAAGTTTCATTCCGAGTTCAGTATATAGTTTCAGATTACGGGTATGTAGGACGT